TCCTCCTCCTCCTCCTCCTCCTCCTCGCTCCTCCCCCTCCATCTTCCTCCCTCTCCCCCTCCTCCCCTCCTCCTCCTCCTCCTCCGCCTCCGCTCCTCCGCCTCCGCCTCCGCCTCCTCCCTTCCTCCGCCTCCTCCTCCTCCTCCTCCTCCTCCTCCTCCTCCTCCTCCTCCTCCTCCTCCTCCTCCTCCTCCTCCTCCTCTCCCTCATCCTCTTCCTCCTCCGCGGTTCGAACGCCCGAGCGCCCGCCCGCCCGGAACTCCATTCAGCACCGCAGCGATGATGTGCGCGAAGAAAGCCACCCAGCAGCGCGACAGTTACGCCGCCTCGGGGGCCCGCAACTCCGCCGCCCGACCGGCGCCATCCGCCCCCGCTGGACGCGGGGCTGCCCAGCTGTGGCCATGGCTGATGAGGGGATGAGGGCCACGGTCGGTTCCCGGCCCCACCGGGCCGCCAGCTACCTGGCCAAGGCCTCTGCTGCGCCTTCGTCCGCCGGCTCCAGCAGCGCCGCCTGCTCCCGGGCGAGCCCGCGCAGGTGGCGCAGGGCCAATTGGACGTGGCTGCCGGCGGTTTCCAGAGCCAGCGGCACCATGCGCCATGGCGTCCGTCCGTCTGGGGGTAGCGCCGGTGCTTGTCCGCCTCCGCAGAAGCGCTGATTGCCCCGTCGCGGCCGGCAGCGGCCTGCAGCGAATCGGCGTCACCAGGTACGCTGTACTGGACGGTGGCATCGAAGAAAAAAGGCGGGTGGCCAGGGAGCTATACCTCGAGGTCGAGGGTGGCCTCCTCGCGCGGGGGCCAGCGCGTGGCCGTGGTGCACCTGGCCCAGGCCACGCAGCCGCGGTGCACCTGGCGCAGCCCCAGGCCCAGCCGTCCCAAGCTGGGACGTGCACCTGTCGAGCGGCGAGGTTGCCGCAATCCGCGTGGACGCGCTGCCAGGCCCGCTCCAGGTCGCCGATGCGTGCCTTTAGGCCCCGCCCCGGGGGCAGCGCCAAGCGCGGCGGACCTTGCTGCAGAGCGCCTCGCCGCAGCGCTGGCCAGCCCGCTCGCCCGTTCGAGAACGGTTGCAGCAGGTGGCCCTCGGCGGCGCTGCTTCCTGCCCGAGGAGGGTTCGGCCGGTGGCCCTGTAGTCCGCGTCGACCAGGCGTTCGCAGGGCTGCCCGGGCGAGGCAGTCTGCCACCCAGCAGCGTGCGGCCCGCCGCATGAGCGAAGGATCGCCCTCTCCTCTGGCCACAGGGGCCTCAGTAAAATCTCGTAGTTTGTGTGGTCGATACTTGCAGTGCGGGGTTTCTAATGCTTGCAGCGGGGCGTCTCGGACAGCTCGCGCCAGGTGGGCAGCTCGGCCAGCTCCGCGCCTGGGCGCGGAGGCGGCGCCGGCAGCTGCGCGGGCCTGGCCAGCGTGCCGCGGTGCGGCAGGCGGCCGCGAGGGGGAGGCCGCAGTTCTTGAAGTCGTCGGGGCAGGTGGGCCCAGGGCGCCCGCGCACGCCGCTCAGGCTCTGCACCCAAGAGCACCAGGCTGCTGGCGCCAGCTGCAGCTGGCTGCGCAGGCCCCATTCGCCGGCGCGCAGGGGATTGGCACTGCGTTCGCTGGGTCTTCGTCAGAGGGCCCAGGCCCGCGTGCTCCTCGTAGGCGGCCGTTGTCGCGAGGTGCAGCCGCGGCCTCCGACGCGGCTGCCCAGGCTCGCGCGCCGCAAGTGTGTCAGCTTGCTGGTGCCGCAGCGGCGCAGCAGTAGCCCCGCGGTCTGCGCCGCCGGCAGGCGCGGCGAGGCCGCAGTCGGGAGAGCCGCGAGCTTGGCGAGAAGCTCCGCCGCCCGCCCCGCCGTCTCCGCGCAGCGCGCCTTCGCGTAGTCCGCCGAGCCATAGTCGACGCGGCGCCCGTCGCTCTCGTCGGGCAGCCCCCCCGCGGGCAAGGGGGCCCCGAGCGGCACGCCCACAAAGGTCATGCCCTCCACGCGCCACTGCTCCTCCAAGCCGAGGGGGCAGGCCGCGCCCGCGGACCAGGCCTGCGTTCTCCGCGGCTCCAGCGCCAAGCCAAAATCAGCCAGAGCCGTCTGCGCCGCCGCCTGCACGTCGCCTGCGAGCGTTGCCGGCGCCAGCACGACGACGTCGTCCAGGTGGGCGAGGAACCGCACGACGCAGGGGTCCACCCCCCGTCGCTCCGCGGCCGCAGCGCCAGCAGAAGCGGGGACCGCAGCCGGGACAAAAGCGCAGCCAGCCACCAACTCTGGCTCCGTCGCACCCTGCGCACTGTTACCCTTGCTCTGCTCGGCGGGGTTCCGTCTCTGTCAGGCACGCGGGGCACGTAGAGCCCGGGTGGCGCGTCTCTCCCACGCGCACCTCTTCCCAGCCGCATTGCCAGGTCACTGGGTGCCCTTGCCGAAAGCGTGGGTCGTTTTTGGGCGTCTGCCGCGCCTCCTGGCATCGCCGCAGCTGACAATCTGCGACTCCCAGCGCCTCTGCGCCTCCCAGCGCCGCCTGCGCCAGCAACCCGCGCCTCCTAAC